TCTTTGCAGTATATTACAACCCATCTCTGACTGGTGTTCTTTAAAAGGATCAATGCTATTCCTGTGGAATCAATCCCTAGAGTCCAAAATTTCATTGATCTTGGGACTTGACATTTCTCATTACGTGCTATAGCTTCCAACAAGATAGTCACAAGAGAGGCAAGTTAACATTGTTGTCTCTTCAGCAGACACTCAGAATACATTGGGACTTCATCTCAAACCCAATCTGATTTTAAAGTATGTAGTTTTAATGTTTATACCACATATAAGGTGCTTTATAGAAAGTTTGATATACATACATACAAAACATTTTTAAATCATAGCCATGTGAAACTTTGAAAGAGGATTTACCGTTCATCTTTTCTAATCAAATCTACAAATATTCATTGAGTAATTTGTATAACACATTGTTGTTACGCCTTTCTATTCCACTTTTTAAAAATAAGTCTTTTAGCTCGTGTACAGGCATTATGCAGACTGTGAAAGGAGAAGCCAATTGCAAAGGAGACTCCAGCTGTGCACACACACCTTCTCTGGGCTCCCATTGTGTATGCCTCAGCTCTGGACGCTGACCCTCCTGCCAGCCACAGCCTGTCACCAAACATCTGCCAAATCACATCCCTCTCTTTGTTTGCATCCAGGCTTCTTTTAAAAAGACTGTCCTGGTGCCCAGCTCCACAACTGCCACTAACCAGTGCTATTATAAGAAATGAAAGCATGGGCGATGAACAGCCCAGAGAGATTTGTAGAGTGTATTTAGATTTAGATACATTAAAGAAGTTTGTATCACTTCTCGGAGCAGAGAATCTTAGCTAGGATTTAGCATATGTTAAACCATCTTTTTAAGATCAGAGGAAGCATAGCTCCGTATGTAATAGTTCTCACCATGCAGGGCTTTTTGAGGACCAAATGGTAATGGATGTATTGGAACACCCATAGCACAGAGCCCATTCTGCAGTAGACCACTCAGCCACCCCATCCCTCATTCTAACACAAGGAGACTTTCCAGGGTTCCAGACTGAGAAGGGAGCTCCTTGCCACTCGGCCTCTGCTTTTCCTTTCCCTTTATGGGACTAAGACTTCAAGAAAGGTCTTTGGCCTAGATTGGAAGCAATATATACAGAGTGACTAATGTGTTCTGATCAGAGAACTTCAAGTTCTAGACCAGGGGGTGTCCGGGCTTTACACAGAGCCCAGCTTCCTGAGGAAGAGGAGGTGGATGATACTATTAGTTGTTTTTAGAAGGTGAGCGTAGGGGAGTAATGTACTGTGACCTAGGTCTGGGCTCAGGACTTCAAGAGAAGAGGTTGTCCTGCAGTGGCAGGGCTCAGAGGAAAATGTAGTTATTGTTATCTCTGAAGAGGAAAAAGAAGTTAGAGTGAATGAATAAATACTTTCACCATATAATACTCTATGAGTACATAAGGAAATGAAACCACATCATGGGTGAATTTGACATTTTCCAACCCACAGAATGTTTTTACTTGCATTATCTTGGGACCTTAGGAAATGCAGGTCCAAGCATATTTGGTAACTGGAACAGACCTCCACAGCACCCGCCTGTGGCTGAGGAGTTGGGGTCTTGAGAAGGCACTCCTGACTGATACTGTTCTTCTCAGCTATTCCAGCAAATTTCTAACCTAATATGTTGAAATAAATCTTGAAATCATAGTAGCAATGAAACCACCATACCCTTTGACTAAATCCCTTATTCTTGGATTTTAACTTTAAAAACTCCATCATATTTTATCTAAGTATAAACATGAATGAAAATACCTTCTCCCATGATTCTGCAGTGACTTCCCCAGGGTCAGAAATAAAATCTGAATATCATATACCAGGAGATTTATCCTCTTACTGTGGAGCAGAGGTCTTAGAAATCCACTGGCTTTGTTTAGTTCTAAATCAGAAGGACCACAGCTTCCCCTGCATATCAGTGTCCCACAAATGAGGTTTAAAATAAGAACCATGAGTTCTTTACTTTGCCCATTTCTCTAAAAGCCAGAGACCATCTCACTGAAAAACCTCTCCTGTCTATGTGAATAAGCAGCATCTAATACTAGTATATTTTTTATCATCCGTTTTGAGAATATTGAAATGACCTTTGATAAAAGGAGGATGGAATTTGTTTATTTTAAGCCTTTTAATATTGGGAGTTTCCAAATGCATGTCTATGAGGAATCTAAAAATTGGACGTGTTTGTTCTTCATCAGTTCTAGTCATTCCAGCACATGGCGAGTGCTTCTGTGGAGGCAGTGGTGAGGCTGAGGGCGATGACGGGGCACTCAGAGGGGCGCTCCACCTGCACCTCCCTCTGCACTGGGCCCTTTAACCCTGGGCTACATCCATCAACTGTGATGTGACAGTGACAGAATATTCCCCGGATTTTGAAGGATTGTTGGAGTGTGTGACATCTGTCCCTAGCAACAAAATGAAATATAGGAAATAAGCTTTCCCGCCGCTGCAGGTTTCCCAACTCAGAAAGCCTGGAATGGCGTTTTATTTGCCTTTCACTTAAAGAAGGAAACAGTGCTTTCAGGGGCCCTAAACAATATCCCCTAATAGTTAAGTTCCACAGTTTATTCAGATGATCTGGGGAAATTGTAATGAAAAAAAATAAAACATTTTAAACCTCTAAATCAGACATGAGCCTTTGAAAAACTCATTTCCTAGCAGAAAATGTATAACATGCATAAGGAATAGTTATATACATTTTTTTCTCAATTCCCTGCAATAGGATCAGATTGCTTTTTATTTTCTCCACAGCACATTAGGGAAAGGTCTCAAAACTATTTATTTTATATAAATGAATTAAGTGTATAATTTCAGGGTTTTCCAGTATGCTCGTCTCTCCAAGTTAAAATTATCATTTAGAAAAATTAAAGCTGATATTACACATAAAATCTTACCAATACCTTTTTAAAGATTTAATTTTTATGGATACATAATAGTTGTACATATTGATGGGATGTGTTGATACAATGATACAATGTGTAATGATCAAATCAGGGTAACTGGGATATCCAACACCTCAAACATTTATCACTTCTTTGCATTAGAAACATTCCAAATCTTCTCTTCTAGTTATTTTGAAATGTAAAATAAATTATTAGCCGCAGTCACTCTATTTTGCTACCAAACACTAGATCTTATTCCTTCTATCTAACTGTATCTATTTAGTTGTATTGTTCTACCCATTAACCAACCCCTCCCCACCACCCTTGCCAGCCTCAGGTAACCACCGTTCTGTTTATTTCCTCTGTGAGATCAATGTCTTCACCTCCCACATAATGAGTAAGAAGATGGGACAGTTGTCTTTCTGTACCTGGCTAATTTCACCTAACCTCATGTCCTTCAATTCCATCTATGTTGTTGCAAATGACAGGATTTCTTTTTTATAGCAAAATAATATTCCATTATGTAAATATACCTCATTTTCTTTATCTTTTCATTATTTGTTGGACACTTAGGTTGATTCTACATCTGAACTATTGTAAATAGTGCTGCAGTCAACACAGGGGTGCAGATATCTCTCTGATATGCTGATTTCCTTTCTTTTGAGAACTCTTATCAATGCTTAAAGCTTATTTTACCAGGGAACCCAGGGCATCTTTGAAACAATTTTTGTTTCTTTTTCACCTTTTTCCTGCAGTGTGAAACATAATTTAACAAATTATATAAATATGTTTCAGACAAATCCAGGACTGCTGACATTGTAAATGGACACTTAACCAATAGTCAAAACACATTATAGCAACATTCATGTGTTTAGAAGAAGATGGCAAGCTAGCATGAACTGCTGTCCCGCTTCTCCCACACTCCATCTAAGAGATACCTCAGAAACAAAATTGGAGCTGATGGGTCTGAGAAAACGCACATAAATCCCTGGGGAGACAGAAGATAGGCGGGTCTTAAGATAGGCAGGTCTTAAAGAAGGGGCTCTTGGCCAACCAGAGTGGAAGATGTGGGGCGCCTTACTGGGTAAGGCCGTAAGATTATGCACTTTCCTCATGAACTCCCTGTGGCTTCCCTCTTGCCACTGTGGGCAGAGAACTGGATCAGCAGTCCAGCTGGCCAGCACCCAGAGGTCCCATAAGTGCCAAAGAAGGGGCTGTCCAAGGGAAGGCGCATCTGCCAGCCCTGGAACATTTAACTTCCCCCAGCCCCAGTGAGGGCCAATAGTTCAACCTAGGAGGCAGCTCTGGGAAAGAGGGGCACCAAGACCAAAGTACAGGGTGGTTCTCTGAGAGACAGGATGGGGGCCGGGGTTGGTTACCCCACCAAAAATAGGAATTCACAGAGAAAAACAGGCAAGCATGCAAGGAACACGAGTGCTAGAAAAGAAAGATCGCAAATGGAACAACCTATGTGGGTGATGCAGAATAAGCTCATTTGCCTTCCAGTAAAAGAAGAGAAAACTGTAGAACTTTTTACAAAAGGCATAATATTCTCTAAGTCCTTCAGTTTATGAAAGCAGTTAGCAGTGAAAATGCTTTTGGGATATGATTCAGCTGGACTTTGTAGCTAGGTTCACATTAATAAAGCGAAGTGGGTTCAGTTCCAGCCCTTAGCTGTTGGGCAAGTTGAATCACCCTGCAAAGCCTTGGGTTTCTAGGCGATAGACTAGGCATCGTAAGAGTTCCTACATCATAGAGCCTTACCATAAATACACGAGGTAACACAGATAAATGCCTTAGCAGGCATTGTACCTGTTTCATAATACTAATGGAAGAAAAAGAATAGCCATTACCACTCCCGTTATGTTCTAAGCATGTCACATATGTTAACTTGTCATCTAAACAGCATGTATAGTAGGTTCGCTAGTTATGTGCATCTCACAGAAGAGGAGAGCAGAGAGGTTAAGTAAGTGGCTTATGGTCACACAGCTTAATAATAATGCCCATAATAAACATGGGTATTTATTGAACGTTGCGTTGCTGGTGTAGCTCTCCCCCCCTGCCATTGGTCTGTAGTGCCTCACTGCTGCTGTTTTCTTGCAGGTGACTATCCTGCACCAAGAGCCGTCCTCACAGGCCATGACCATGAGGTTGTCTGTGTTTCTGTCTGTGCAGAACTTGGGCTTGTTATCAGCGGTGCTAAAGGTCAGAAGTCATTTCTTTCATCTTCAGTGTTTAGGAACTTGACGGTTTTCTCACAGTAAGCATGATTGCCAGTTTATTTCTTCCAGGAAGCTTCCCATAGACAAATGGTATCCGAAGTTATTTGTAGATGTTTACTTTTATGATTAATATTTACTAGCACTAATATAAAATATGTATAAAATTTTATATAGTATTTTGTGGTCAACAGCATTCTAACCAGAACACTGATAAATTAAATTACAGTGTATTCATATGATGCAGCCATTATAAAGGACATTTAAAAGACAAGGGGAAAGTATCCCTGATGTAGTGGGGGAGGTGAGGGGTCAGGTCACTCATCATACACGGCCTTGGACCCCCTTCCTCTGCAAGTCCCTTTCTTTATAAGGCCAGGGGCTGTGTAGAGGTTAGTGGAAAGGAAACAAAGATCACTTGGTTCTTTGGAAGGTTTGTTTTGTGTTTGAGGCATACTTTCGCACTTGTCACCCAGGCTGGGGTGCAATGGTGCAATCCAGGCTCCCTGCAACTTCCGCCTCCTGGGTTCAAGTGATTCTCCTGCTTCGCCCTCCCAAGTAGCTGGGATTACAGGCATGCACCACCAGGCCTGGCTAATGTTTTGTATTTTCAGTAGAGATGGAGTTTCACCATATTGGCCAGGCTGGTCTTGAACTCCTGACCTCAGGTGATCCACCCACCTTAGCCTCCCAAATTGCTGGGATCACAGGCGTGAGCCACCACACCCAGCCTCTTTGGAGTTTTTGTAGAAGACATTTCATTTCAGGAAGTCAGGAAACGTACGTACTAGTTCTGGCTCAAATAGCAATTCTCTGTAGGAAGACTCCCAGGCAGAAAGGAGCCCTGGCTGCTGCTGGAGTATCGCTGTGGTGCACAACCTGGAGGAGTGAGAAGGCTGAAGGGATGGGAGGGGCCTGGGACACAAGCATTTGTAATTTTTTTTGTTTGTTTTTAATGAGTATAGTTGGAAACCATTGAAGTTTTTTAATGGAGGTGATGAGATCGATCGGTTTGGTTGTTAGAGCTCATTTCAGCTGTTCTATGGAGAATGGATAGAGTCTGAAGGCTGGCACCATGTTTTTAAAATTTTGGTATCTAAGAATAAATAACCCATAAATGGACACTAAGGATATTTTCAGCCTTTTAATTTTAAAAAGTAATAATATGTGTAATATCATTTTACCCTGTGAAGTTAAAAAAAAGGACAATAAGTGACACATAGTGTGCACCAAGAAAGAGACATTTCGTACAGGGGCTGCGTGACGTTAGAGATGATTGCTGGTGTTTTCCTAATTCTCTGTAGGGCAAGTCTATTACTTTAGTAATCAGGACAAAATTTAATAATGTCACTTGCTTTGTAAAATATGTGTCTATTCAGATCAATTAAAAATAAGCATGTAATTCATACACTGTTTTGTGGAGATCTTTTTGTGACAAGGGAATAGATAGATAATACCAAGCTATAGTGAGCAATTTTTATGAACGGATCAGTGAATTTTTTACCTTATCAACGCTATTTTGTAAGGGTGAAGAAACCCAGAAACAATCAGAGCCAAATATCACTCTTTATCCTTCTTTCACACTCTTGCCTCACTATTCATTTATGTAACAAAGTAAGTTTCTGTAGGTTGAAATAATAAGTTTTCTCAATTTTGCTTTTACATTTTATGCACAGATGACAGAAAAAGGTAAAATGTACTTGACAGTAATGTATTTATGTGGTACAATGCGTAAAATTTTGAGGCTACTTGAGAAAATGAGCAGCTGTTCTGATAATTCTATTAAACTTTCAAGAAAAGTTTATAAAAGCATATTAAGAGAAAATGTCTGGCACACAAAATCTTTTATTCTCACATCATCTGTGAACTATACCATTTTGTTATGAATATTACCTGACAAAGGAAAGACCAAGTATTTACCTGCAGAAGTGTGCAGCGCAGGAGGGTGGCATGTGACAGGTACTCTGGCTTTGCTCTGTTTAAATATAACATCAGCGCTTGGCCTGGCCAGCCTACCTCTTTCATCACATCTGAGTGCACACTCAGCGAGGTTTTCGAGTTGGTGGGAGCTACTATGTCGTTTGTCATCCCCAACTGACCCTGGCATTGATGTCCCCACTTTGCAGAGGGCCCTTGCCTTGTCCACACCATCACTGGAGATTTGCTGAGAGCCCTTGAAGGACCAGAAAACTGCTTATTCCCACGCTTGATTTCCGTCTCCAGCGAAGGCCATTGTATCATATACTATGAACGAGGGCGATTCAGCAATTTCAGCATTAATGGGAAACTTTTGGCTCAAATGGAGATCAATGATTCAACACGGGTAAATCTGCATACTTCGTGCTAAGTAGGACTGAAGCCAGGAGATTAAAGATTGATTGTTTTACATTAAATAATTCATAATAGAATTTCTGTGCCATCCAGATAAATGTCTTCTAGATTAAAAGTATATAATTTCATGTGGACTGATACTTTAAACAAATTCAAAATTCATTTAATTGCAAGTAATTAACTCAGTGAATTAGACTTCAGAAATGATAGCTGTTGTTTCATTAAAGCTTAGACCCTTAAGAGGGTTTTTAAAGCTCCTTTTATAATTGTTTCAGCGCTGCACCCTCACAGCATTAAAAGTGAGTTTATTTTCAAAGATTTCTATCTTTAGAACCCTAAACAAAAATTATATATACCCATTTACCCTTCATTCACAAATAAATTATAATTGCTGGGTTGTCATTATTAAACACTGTTTTGAAATATGCTTCTTCCATTTGTTCCAAAATTCTCTACAATATTAATATTCAGGATTTAACTAAACATGTTACTTAATGCTCAAGTTCTTCCTGGATTAAATTGGTAATATTCTCTTGGGAATTTAATCTTGATTTTAATAAGATCTTTTGTATATGTAAGAACTTCTATGAATTCCACATTGGGAATTCTGTAGATTGAACTTGAAAAAAGTTGGACAAATAACTAACAGTAGTCAATAATGACAAGGGAACTGTACTGAGTACTTTTCAGTAGTGACAGTTGGCTATTTAGGAAAAATTGAGAGAGATGGTTGTTGTGTTTTTTATTTTGTTTTGTTTTACCTTTTCTGAAGGCCATTCTCCTGAGCAGTGATGGCCAGAACCTGGTCACCGGAGGGGACAATGGGGTAGTAGAGGTCTGGCAGGCCTGTGACTTCAAGCAACTGTACATTTACCCTGGATGTGATGCTGGCATTAGAGCGATGGACTTGTCCCATGACCAGAGGTGAGCTGCGTCAAGGACAAGTGTCATCACTGAGAACTGTCATTGAAGGCTCTCTTCATTCTACCAAGGGTGAATTGTGCTGTGAGTGCAATTCTAGCATCCAGATGAAAGGAAAACTGGCAAAGAAAAGGGGAAAATGAGGGGAAGAGTAAGGATTCTAGTGAGAGGGAAACAGAGGAAGAGAATAAGAAGGAAAAAAAGAAATGGATCTGATGAAGAACAGGCGCCTCCAGACATGTTTTAAGGGCCCAAGACATAGAACTTACTCCCACCAAGTTCCCTGTTCTCAGATCCTTGCCTAGTCTCAGACAGGCCACCCTGGCTTATATGATGTGAGGGAAACACATATTTTTCAGCAGAGGTGGGATTCAGTGTGAGACCTACTTCTAGCTAATGAGTTTCCAGCAAAGTGCAGTGTGGGGTGGGCTGTAGCTGCCTCCCTTTCAACAGCATGTGGCATTCATGCATTACCCAGAACGGTCTTTTACCCCCATGTTCTTATTTACCTGTTTCTCATTTACATTATTTTGTTTTATTGTATTTCCCTAAAAACCTTTAATCCTTTAATCCAACTCTTTCTTGGAAAGAGTTGATATGAACGTTAATCAATTAATGATTTTCCATTCTTCAATTTGCAATAAGATTTTATTATTTCCTAAAATTTACCTTTGGGTTTCTTATAAAGTGAAAGTAATATTAGAAATATAAAGTCTAAAGTTACTAAACCTTTAAAATAAACTACAACCCTATAATCTGAAGATGGCATGCGATGTCTAATTTTTGCTATTTAACAGAAATAAGAAAAGCTTGTTGACTGACGTTTTTCCCAACTACTTGTAATATTCCTCATAACAGTATTGGTTTTAAAATATTTTAAATATTAAGACATATAGTAAAGTTAACAAAGCATCTTCATGATATAATAAAGTGGTACTGAAGTCATCAGGAAAAACCCTGTAATCTAATGTAGTCTGGGAAAGGATGTTTGGTCTGCAGCCCAGGCTGTTTCTAAAGAAGGTTTAAGGTTATTATTGGAGTGTTCCAAAGTGCGGCAGCCTGTACTTACAAATAAATGGGAATGGTTTATTGTGTTATTATTTGTATATATGTGTGCTTCCAGAGTGTTTGAAATGATTTTTGTTTGTAAGTAGTTTCAGTATTTCCCTGATACTCTCACTCATTCGTGTATTCATTTGGCTGCCCTCACCATAGGTTGAGTGCAATGCAAAGTACTAAGGATCCACAGTAAGAAACTGACCCCAGAGAGCTCAGATCCTCATAATCATTGAATATGAGGGCACCAGGAACAGACTAACAGAAGAAGGAAGGGATGAACTCTTCTTGAGGGCTGGGGAGGGCAGGAAAGACCTCAGAAGATGCTTATCCATTCACTAGGCATGAACAAAGAGGGTGGAGGGAAGAGCATATTCAAAGTCGCAGTAGTATTAGGGGGTCTCCAAATGGAGGGGGGAAAGATACTAAGTTTCCATTTCTATTTTAATCTCATCCTTGGTTTTGATTATTTTGTCATTTTATAATGAATAGCGCATGCATATCAATTACAAACTGGTAAACATACATTGGGGATATTACTCAAAAGGTATTTATTGGATAAGGTGTCGAATCAAAAGTGAAGCAACACTTTATGTAGACAGAAATCCTGAAACCTGAGTTCAGTCAGTGGCAGTGGGACTGGGGAGGAACATCCCCGAAAAAGAAGCCTCAGAGCTCAACAGCTGATCAGTTAGGAGGGAGAGGGAGAGGAGACAAGCTGACTTACCCAGGAAAAGACCAGCAGGGTCAGAAGGTACCAGGGATTCACGGTGGACGTGTTGAATCTGAGGGTTTTGTGACACAGCCTGGCAGTGACCCCACTTGACAATGGGAAATCAGCATCTGGGGCTTCAGAAAGAGATGCCATTGCCTTTATGTCCAGGGAGAGTGTGGACCAAGAGGGCAAGGGGTGGAGTGATTCAAGGGGGCAAAGCAGAGAAAGGTCAAAGAGATAGGAAGAAATGCCAGATATCCTCAGAGAAGCCAATAGATGCCCAAAACAAGGCAGCGGACAGGCACGTGTGTGATTGCTGAGAGAAATGGGGCAGCCAGCAGAGGCTGGAAATGTGGTTCCGTGGCCCCCTCATGCTCTGCAGCAGGGCTGGCTGGCCAGGCGTCTGCAGGCGAACTGTGCTCCTCTCAGCAGAACCAAGAAGAAATTTCAGTCCTACTTCCATAAATACAAAAATAAGACTTGGCAAACTTTGAGATCATGATACTGTCTAGTGTAAAATGCCAAACTTTGAGATCACAATACTGTCTAGTATAAAATAGCAACCACAGAAATGATTTTATATCACTCTTAACTGCTGTTTCTGCTTTTCCAGGACTCTGATCACTGGCATGGCTTCTGGTAGCATTGTAGCTTTTAATATAGATTTTAATCGGTGGCATTATGAGCATCAGAACAGATACTGAAGATAAAGAAAGACCCAAAAGCCAAGTTAAAGCTGAGAGCACAAGTGCTGCATGGAAAGGCAATATCTCTGGTGGGAAAAACTCGTCTGCATCGACCTCCGTTTGTGCATTCCATCACACCCAGCAATAGCTGTACATTGTAGTCAGCAACATTTTACTTTGTGTGTTTTTTCACGACTGAACACCAGCTGCTATCAAGCAAGCTTATATCATGTAAATTATATGAAATAGGAGACGTTTTGGTAATTATTTCATATATTGTTGTTTATTGAGAAAAGGTTGTAGGATGTGTCACAAGAGACTTTTGACAATTCTGAGGAACCTTGTGTCCAGTTGTTACAAAGTTTAAGCTTTGAACCTAACCTGCATCCCATTTCCAGCCTCTTTTCAAGCTGAGAAAAAAAAAAAAAAAAAAACACACGTTTGATACTTTGTACATCAGATGCATCTTATTTAAAAGGAATACTTTTGTAAAAGTAAAACCTTGTATAAAGAACAAAATGTTTCTTAATTTTATTGTGGAGTTACAACTTGCATGTTCCTTACTCCTGATGGCTTGATGGAACAGGTGCATTCACACTATGAAACAGAAAGATCTGTCCAAGGACACAGCTTGTATGAAAGGGTTGAATTTGGGCTCCATCAGTAATTTTTGACATTTTCACCAAAATATAGTTTGCACTTTTTAATCTAAATTCATCCCTTCTGAGTGAAATTTGCTCATAAAGCATTTGGATACTAAGCCATTATTTGCCATTTTGGGTACTTTATACAAAGAAAATTCAGCCCTACCCTGCATAATTTGAAGACACAGCAGAAAGGGGGCTTAGGGATGAGGTCCTGGTTTTTCTTGTATAAATAGGAGTTATGAGCGTTAGTTCCGTAGTAATAACTTCCCAGCACCTGCACATCTCTTCCAGAGTCATCCCACTGGCTTGGTGTGTATACATCAGGGGAGGATAATCTGATGCTAACTTTTTTTTTTCTCTTTGGTTCTTGAATAGCTTAGTTTCTTTAATAACAAGTCAGACTTTATTACAACAATAAACTGAAGTTATTCTTTTAGGTTCTCGTGAAATTCTCACCGAAAGCCACATTCTTAGCCTAAGGCACTTCATCTTTTATGATATTAAATGATGGCTATCAAATGATTTTTCCATACATTGTACTGATCAAGTTAATACACCCAGGGGTATATACACTTTCTTCATGTTTCTTCTTTGTATATTTGGTGACTGTATCGTCATAGATGTACATATTGTGTCGGTAGGGCTATGAGGCATGTTACAGGAATGTAATTTTCTCAGAATTTACCCTCACTTGCAGTCATTTATTTAAAAAGATAAAACAAGATAATGGGTTCTTTGTATTGGCACTTTGCACCGGAAACATATCATTATTTATTGATGTGATTACTTATTTGTTATCCACCTTGTACTAGTAAGTTTTAGCACTGAATTCCTTCTTCATTGTTGTTTGTATTTATGAAATTCTGAAATTATGGGGAATCAGCATAGTGATTAAGTTATTCATCACCAGGCTGTAAAGCAATATCTTGAGTTTGTAGCTTAGAATCGGGAGGACACTGAACATCTGGAAGACAAGTCCATTTCATCTTGAGATCATGGTGAAATATTTTGGATATATAAATTCCTTAAGCTATTGTAACCATGTTTTATTGCAAAGATGTAAAATATGCCAGATGTGTGTGAGTTGGAAATCAAAAAAAGAAAAATAAAATATGCAAAGAATTCATGGATTGTTTCGGATTTCATCAGACACGTCACTAGCATGCTTTCATTGTGTTGTCACACAGGCTTCAGAAGTCATCATCATCTGATATAGAGCCTACAGCAGCTAAAAACATGAAATCGAGTCCTAATGAGGTTCTGCAATTTGCCGAAACCCGAGCTGCTCTGCCGGGCCATCTGGCAGGGATTTGGGGCAACAGTGACCGTGGGGAAAGAGCCCTCATTGTCCATTCCACATAATCCACTTTGGGGATTGTCTTTATTTTATTTAAAAGGAACTAAGTAGTGAAGGTTATAATAGCACCTTTTTTGAGTATTATCACATAATGCCTTTTTCATTTGAAACCACACCTTCTAGAACTCATCAGCTACCAGGCATGGCACAGGCAGGGACTGAGGACCTGGAGAGGCTGAGTCGCTGCTGGCAAGGGCAGCCACGAGTGGGCTAAGGGGAGTTCAGTCACATAGATTGGCATGGGTGGTTGGGCCAGTGGCCCAGACAGGCCCACAGAATGACAGAACTGCAGGCCGTGCTTCCATCCGCATTCCCAGAACCCAGGGGCAGACCCAACAGTAGCCTAAGGAAGGTTTGCTGCCCTTACTCTCCATCCTATCCCCACACCAGAAATCTGTCAGTCAACTCTCCATCCTATCCCCACACCAGAAATCTGTCAGTCATCTGCCCTGCTGGCTCCCTCACCCAGCCCTCCTACCAGGCACTCCAGCCAACTGACTGATCACTACCTAAAGTGTCTTTTGAAACTGCCCCTGCCCTTTCCAGCACTGTCATCTGGACTGTCCAAAAACCTCCTGACCTCTGACCTGTACCTTCCCATCCATGCTCTGCCCTGCTGCGGAGGCACCCATCCAGTCATCTCCCTCCCTGTCAGCCTGTGCCCCCTGGTGCCTCCCAGCACTTCGAAAAACCAACACCAATGGCTTAAAATGGTATTCTTAAACTCTGCTGGGTTGAAAATCCCCGGGGAGCTTATTTGTAAAAGCAGGCTCTAGAGTGCCACCGCCTCCCCTCCCACCCCAGGCACTTCTTGGGCACATTTTCAACAACACTGATTTGAGGGATAAATTCTAAGCTCAGTAAAGCGCGGAAGTCCTTCAGGAAACGCCCCCAGCAGCTAGCACCCCTGGTAAACCCGCCTTTTTGCAAGTCCCTGAGAACTCTCTTGCACCTGACTCTAAGGTTCCTCCTGCCAGGGGGCCCCTCTCTGCTTGCGCCACTTGCCTGCTTCCTTGTTGCAGATGGACCTAAACCAATTTGGTCATGCACAGTCTTTTTTGGCAGGTAAAGTTAGCCCCCAAAACACCACATCTTCACTATTTCATGATGAAAACAACTTTTAGAAACAGTCTCTGCTATGTGTGGGGATATCTTTTTTTTTTTTTTTAATTGAGACAGAGTGTCGCTCTGTTCCCCAGGCTGGAGTGCAGTGGTGGAATCTTGGCTCACTGCAACCTCCGCCGCCTGGGTTCAAGCAACTCTCCTAGCTCAGCCTCCCAAGTAGCTGGGATTAGAGGCACACACCACCATGCCCAGCTAGTTTTTTTAATTCTTAGTACAGATGGGGTTTTGTCATGTTGGCCAGGCTGGTCTTGAACTTCTGACCTCAAGTGATCTGCCCGCCTCAGCCTCCCAAAGTGCTGTGATTACAGGCGTGAGCCACTGCGCCTGGCTGGGATACTTTTAAATGAAACACATTTTAGCAAGCAGGCAAGATCTTCTGTGAGTTTGGTGAAGTCCAGAGCTTGGATTTTTTATGTGATCTCAAAACCATTTTACATTTCGAAAGGTACGCTTAAAGCAGATGCACAAATATTCTAGAAATAGCATCCCATGAGCCTTCTAATGCCATCAGCAGTCTAAATCCTCCAACCCAATCATCCAGCTATCAAGCCCTGGGCACCACCCTAAGAGTATTTGCTAAAGGCCTCAGTAGGTTGTTACACCCTGGTTATGGAGAGGTAGGAAAGTTCAAATACTTTAGCCAGCGATACTGAATTTATATGTATATTTAGCATCATTAATTCCATCATCCATTAAGCTAACTTAGATGCCAATAATTTCCCCTGCTGAAAAGCCATTTCTAGTATTTACTATCCTAACTCATAAAGCTTCCAGTTTCTTTAGGATTAGAAAGCTGGAGTATTGGAATGACACCTTTCTGAAATGTATATTTCTGATTAGGGCAACTGACTATCCCTAGGATGCAGTATAAATTAACACATCACATGTCTATACCGGATATTTTAAAGTAAATGACAACATGGTAACATTCCCCCTTACACTTAGAGGCTCCCTGCTCTGAGAAGTCTTCCCTGACCACTCCTTAGCCTCCTCACCCCTGGTGGGCCTGGCACAGCGCTGAGCAGTGCATTATTGTAACTCACGTCCTTCCTCCGTGTGGCTATGAGCTTCGTGGGCAACACGAAGCTTAAATCCTTAAGGCAGTGTCGGATTCAGAGTAGATTCTCAACAAATGTGATTTGCGGAATGTACAGATAAGCAGACAAATACCACATCCCTAAGCAAAATGACAAAGTTGGCTGAGATGGTCCAGAGCCCCCAAACTTCCCTCTTCTCATTGCCCCAGGGCCCACAGCTTCATGTCACCCTTTCCCAGCCTGCATGACAGTGCCTGCCAGGGAACCTCTTGCTCCAAGTACCACCTCAATCATGGGCCTATTCCATCAAGGTTCAGAGAATCAATTTCCAATAAGCACCAAAAGAGGGAATATTTTAAAATTTTAATTACTGCTCTTGACCCACATCAATTCAGTGGGAAGAAAACGGAGCTGACAGATGATCTGGGGTAAGAGCTTCTGGTGTTGCAGCCCATTCAAACTGCCTAAGAACGAAATCCAGTAACTGGGCTCTTCACTCTGGGAATAAACTTGTTGGCACCCTCATCAGTTAAAATAGGCACAATAGCTACATTAAGCATTGTTTTGAGTATCAAAATACATAACAAATGCCAAGCACCTACTAAAGCACCTGGCTCCCGGCAGAATTCAGCAGATGGTCATTTCCTCCCACCATCTGGTGATCATGGATTAGCCTCATCTGCTCAGCATCCCTTTCCCTATTTACCTGCCACGGATCTTCCTGTGGGAAACTTCTCTTTTCATCATGTGATTTAGTAGGACTGCCAATTGTACCACCAGATCCCTGGAACTTCCTGGACTCAGGCCTGGCCAACCATGTCACCTTCATTTCTGGGACCTCAACGATTGGTCAGGGTTGTACATGACCTGAGTTGTTGGGCCAATGAGAACCCTTTTGAAAATTTTTAAATTTTGAAGTCAGAAAGAAAAGTCTTTTTCTTCCAGAGTCACTAACCTATCAATAAGAAATTGGGGACTACTAGCAACCCTGTTCTCCATCATAGAGAAGACCTATTTGCAATAGGTAAGAATAAAGCCATGAGAAATGAAAGAGCATGTGCACTTGTATGCCCGCCACAAGCTTCTGGGAACCTAAATTGCCCTCATATTTACAGATGTCCCAATTCTGAATGTTTGCTTTAGTCAATGACCAATAAACACTATTATCTCCCCCTTACATTGATCAAAGCTGTATTTAATTATTTGTTTTTTATACTCGAGATCAAAACAAATAACCCTTAAGTCATACAGCTCCCTGCCCCAGCTCTCCACCCTTGCTTAGAAAAATGTAACATATTCCAAATTTGTTAGGAAACTAAGCATATTCCTAGCCTATGTATGACTCCATAATCCCACATTTAGATATAGTTCCAAAAGAAATGCTTTTTCCATCCATCAACACACATGGAAAACAATGCTCTTGTCAACTTTGTTCCTAATAATCAAATATACCTGTTGAGTTTTTTTTAAAAATCCAGACACTGATATATGCTGTTAAGAATCAGAATGATGGTTACTTCTGGCCAGAGGTAGTGACTGGTAAGGGCCATGAGGGGATTTGGGGGTACTGGAATGTTATTCTGGAGTGTTGGACTCTATCTCAGAGCTAGGGGTGTTACAAAGATGGGTCCACTCTGTGAACAATCGTTGAGCTGTGTAATGATGATTTCACACGTTTTTGTGTCTATGTTACACTTTAATAAAAAGAAGTTCACTTTTTAAAAAAATTTTTTAAAAGCACTGGCTCTTGTCACCACTCTGAATTTGTCTGCCCATCATCTGAATTTGGGACCACCATCACCACTCATCCCTTTCTCCAGTGCTTTTTAGGTCTACTACCTTGGCTGCCATGTCCCAATGGGCACTTTTCTTCTGGTGACAGCCTGGCCCCAGTGCCTCCTCCTCCAGGCAGCCTCTCCTTCACTATCCAGTAGGTACCCTGCTGTCTATACACAGCTTGTACATACCCCTCCTTTAGCACCTTAGTGCAACTATAAAAAAACCAGAAACTGGGTAATTTATAAACAACAGAAGTGTATTTCTCATGATTCTGGAGGCTGGGAAGTCCAAGATCAAGGCTAGCAGATCTGGTGTTCAGTGAGGGCTCATTATCCATAGATGACACCTTCTATGTTCTCACGTGGTGGAAAAGACAAACTCCTTTGGGTCGCTTTTACAAAGGCACTAATCCCATTCCTGAGGGCTCCACCCTCATGTGCTAATCACCTCCTAAAAGATCCCACCTCTTAAAAAATACCAGCTTGGAACTTGGAGTCCTGGGTCTGTGTCCCAACTCCCCTGCTCGCTAGCTCTGTGGCACTGGGAAGGTCCTCTAACCTTTCTGAGGCTCAATTTCTTCAGATGTGCAATAGATACAATAGAATGTGGATTTCACATTATTTGCAAATCATAAGGTACCACATAACTAAGGTTTCACTACTAAATAATGAAGCCCTCAGGCCTCAATTGGAGTTTTTATGACACAGTTGAACCTCCCAGGAGGATCTGGAGCTCTTTTTCTATAAAATCTATGTTCTCTGTGGGGGAACCTGGGCCAGCAGCATAAATTTGCATTTAGGTTCAGTTTACCACCTAGTAAGAAACATT